AATGTTGGTTGTAGGTGAACAATACGAAACTAAAGTGATCTTGTGATGTTGAATGTAATAATGAGATCCGTGAAAGCTACCGTTTTCTTTCATATAGAAGGTAACATTTGCTTGGTTTTAGTTATTAATTTTGAAAATGGACTTAGCATACTTCTGGTTTTCATTTCTTCTAGTACATAACATGTAGCCTACAGAATGTTCAGTAATTGTGCATTGTCTGGAGGAATGCCTGATTATTCTTTTCAGCTCAGAGCTTATTTTCCGTTTTTACATGATCAGGAAAATGTTTATGAGAATTACTTTGAAAATTACGTGCAAATGAATTTCAAAATATATAAAAACAAACTGATTTTAATAAGTTTAATATATTTGAAACAAAAAAAACATACTTTAAATGCCGACTGATTTTTTTCATACCTCCTTAAAATTTTTTTGTTTTTTCTACATTTTGTAAATAGACTTGTCAGTTTTACTAATTCAATATGCCTCACATTGGCACAGCGGAAAGTCTAAGAACGAATAACACTAACAACCAAGCTTCGATACCCGTGGTGGAACAGATGATCTATTTTGTAGCTTTGTGCTTAACCACAAACAAACGAATAACTAAATGACTGATTAAACTGTTTAGAATTTATATATAGGTTTATTAGACGTTCATCCTTTCATTGGGCATTTTTATAATGAATAAAGTAGAATTAATTACTGCTTAAGTTTTAAGTAATAGTATCCATTATATATATATATATATATGTGTGTGTGTGTGTGTATGTGTGTGTGTGTACAGCGTTGGAAGGCTACATCAACATAAAGTTAATAACAACCAGCTACGATTTCCAAACATCATTGTCACTGCGTACGCCAATGAAAATTTCTAGTCGTATTACTTTTTTTTGATTTGGGTGAAAACTGAAGAATCTGAAAAGCAGGTACAATTTTTAAGATATGAGTGGCTGAATACTAGAAAGTGAAATCATTTACCAACATCAGGATTGTAATATAACATAATTTGGTCAACAGAACTATACATACATATCTATATAAATAATACGGTTGCATTTGTCTGTCCGGAACTTTTCTCGCAAAGTTCTCGACCAAACGCTACAAATTTGATATCGCTAGAAGGGCATTTGTCTGAAAAGTACGGATTGCATATTGGCTCTCTCATTCAGAATCGCTTTACCTTTTTTTTTTGCTTAGTCAAACTTCTTAATGCAACTAGTATCGTACAGGATGGCATAATGTCGTTGTCATCACGTGCTGACTAACTTCGATTTCAACTTTGGTTGTTTGATTTATTTGCAAAGTATTTCACACAAACAAAACTTAACCCGCGTGTAATTTCCTAAAAAATGAACATTACATTAAATACAATTTCCATAGGCTTTCTCGACTAACTTAGGTCTAAAATACCCATGTTAATTCATGTGCTTATCACTTTGTGAACACGCATTCAGACGTTCCTGCATACTAAGCTAAGTTTGCCTTCATTACAGCTTTAAATTTACTTTACAGTAACTTAGCTTCGGTTTATATTATAGACACCTTTAAACACCTTTTAGCTACTTTTTTCTATAGTACGGGTTTTATTCTCCATTTTTTGCAATTTCTTAACTCTCATAATTCTATCATACTCTATACATTATTATGTACCATTACTATACTTTATTGTTTAATTTCCGGTAGTTTTATTATATAAATTTACGTCTACGTGAGTTTATTTGCCTGACCACGTAATTTCTATTTTTATTTTTTTCAAATAGACCAGGATTTATCGACCTAACATAATACCTGCAAGAAAGTGTAGCTTAAATGGCGTGCATGAAAATAACAGATTAAGGAAAACCCAAGCGAATGGCATGAAAACTACCGCAAATGTTTTATGGGTCACGGCTAGTATGTATATTGTATAAACGTATTAAACAGCTAAGCTGTTGAAGTAAGGAGGCTCAGTAGGTCTGACAAAAATAATGAAAACGACATTCGGCTGCACATATTTTTCATTACGTTCTTCTTAATTAGTTCATTACGGATTCCAGATAGTAGCTGGAGTGCTCAACCTTAACCAAAGCATGCCACCTCACGATGATTGGTTGATACAGTTATGTGACTCGGTTGACATAAACACTAATTAGCTGCCTCTGACAATAAGAGCAGAAACATCTTTTTTTTGGTGGGAAGGTCACGGGACCCATAACATGAAATAATTTTACATAGTACTGCTAGGGGCGGACAGTTTCACAGCGTACCACCAGGAGTGGGTTTATCTCTGGAGTGCCACCAGGGACAGACAAGAGGATGCTCCAAAAGCTGGAATCGATCAATGGTGACCTTATAGAGGCAGTTAATTAGTGTTCATGACGTAACAGATCACGTGCTCATATCACCATGATGCGGTATACTTTGGTTAAGGATAGGCTTGCTAACTACTCCAGATCTATATTTTGTCTGCTACTGCTACAAGTCACTTCCGAAGAGGCCTTTCATTCAAAACGAGAACATAGCTGCTGGGCTAAACTGACGACAGACAAAAGTCTATCTGAAATGATAGTTTTGCACGCTTCTGGTTTATAATCTATAATGATCTAATTAAGAAGAATATGATAAAAATATCTGAAATCAATCGCGCATCATATTGTTTTATTTACTGTTTTATTATTACTTGGTAGCATAAGCATTTCTCTCTTGGGCATTTTTGACTAATTGTATATTATAATTTTATCTAAGAATATTTATTTATTAGAATTAAGTCTTCTTGGTTATTTTATATGTGAAAAATTGTCAACATTTTTATACGTGTAGAAATGAACGTATGTGGATCGTTTCGCTGTATTTAGGAGAAAATAAATAAATATCAAGAAACGTGTATACAAAAAGATTTAATTTGTATGGAACTATAAATAGATTCTAGTATTCAACGACTAGTCTTCAAAAATTCATTTACAAACTTAAAGAAAATGTTTGTCATATTGAAACCTTAGAGTTTTGAGAAAAGTTAAAATGGAATATGAACAGGTCTAATTACTTTTTATTTTCACATTCTGAGAAAGGTACAACTCTTACAGTCTATTTAGTAAATAGAAATACAAATACTTGTGAAAAAAAATATCAAACTTTTATACCGTAGTGTATATAAAATACCTTTTTTTTTGTTATTTCTCGAGTTTCAAATTTTGAATAGTGAAGGTTATATGCTGATTACTTGTTAAAGACGCTTAACAGTTCAAAGAAAAGCTCGAAAACGATGGAATTTCTGTGTTTTAGTACCCCCGCATTAAGCACGTGCATTCTAGGAATATGCTTCCTAACAGAGGTCGTCTAAATTACGTGGAGTGGCTTCGTAATAAAATTATGATTACTTGTTTATTTCTCAGTAATTCGAAAATGCAGAAGCTAATTCAACAACTTTATTTGCGTTTCCAAAGCTTCTAACATTGTACATCTGAATGACAAAGGCCATTAAAAATATTTTCAATTAATCATGTAATTATTCGAATATGCCATACAGTTTCAGTCAGTGACTACTGTTTTCTAGATTTATTGAACATTCACAAAACTACAACAGTAAATCCAAAGTATATGTAAACGTACATCACTGAGAATGATATCAAGTTTATTTTTCTATAACGTTCTTAAATATTCCTTTTTTTTTCTATCTTGTTTTAGAAATACTTCAGTATTTTATTGAGTTGCCAAACTAGACGTAGTGTCATATTCTTCTAATGTGGCTGATCAATATAAATTTTCGAAGAATGTTCGCAAATATTTTAATAAAGAAATTGAATAGAATGATTTTTAAAAACTGTAATTAGACTAAAATAAATAAAAACAAAATGCAAAGTTAGAAGATAACAAATGTAAGGGTAAACAGAGTTTGTAAGAAGTCTGAATAGTAACTTATAATACATAGGGCTGTTCACGATCTATGCTAACAATTTTCATTTCTAATCATCCTACTCTTAGCTATCCAATTTTCTTGTGGCTCTATAGGTTAAAAGCCCTGATCTTGATGTTGTAATTCAGTTGAAATGAAATAACATGTAACTAGAGATGACACCTAAAATTGACACTTTCTGGAAAGATTACATTACAGAACATTCGGAAACAAAGTTTTTTTTACTAAAGTATCTACGGCAAGTAAATTTTAGCGATTAAAAAAAAGGTCTGTAAGGAGGTAAGTAAAAAAGTAAATCTCTAAGGCTTTGACACCGATTCTTGTATCGTTGCCATAGATCTTGAACACCTATCTGTATATCAGTATTTACCTAATGACATTAAAAGTAAGTAAGAAAGTAAATCTTTAAGGCTTTGACACTGATTCTTGTATCGTTGCCATAGATCTTGAACACCTATCTAATGCAATTACCTAATTACATTAACGCGTAAAAAAGTGTATGTTTAAGTTTTATAGGAAACTTATAGAATAGTTTATATAATTCTGAATCACTCACTTTCAAATAACAATGAAAACGCTTACTAGTGATCTTAGAGAGATCTGAATTTTTTTGTCATACCTTTGTTGTATTTTCTGTAAAATTTTGATTTGATTTAAAATAAATTAAGTCGACAATACAAAATAAATATTATAATAAAAATATAATTGTTAGTTTGTAGTTAAGCACAAAGCTACACAATGGCCTATCTGTGCTCTGACTACCACGGGTATCTAGCCGTATAAGTTCGCAAATATACCGATGTGCTACTAAGAGCATATGAAAATAAAGGTACATACGAACATTAATCATTCTTCACATTTATGGAGTGTATAATAATATGAAGCCTTGCTCTGATCATTACTTGATGACATGTTGAACTCAAATACAGACAGAATTATTTATTTTCCATTTATTTTCTGACATTTTACAAATTTAGACTAATTGTACATAAATTTCCCAATTCTTGAGAATATAGCAATAAAATTTTATTTTCATTTCATATTACAGTTGTGTTGAGCTATAAGTCTTTTAGCAATACGTTTTACAATTTAGACAGTTAAATTGCTTTACACAGACCTGTTGAAAACGTGTACATTAGGACAGTTTAACTGCTTTACATTGACTTGATAATACCGTGTACATTAAAGGTGAGACTCAGTAGGCTCTTCAGATATGGAAAAAGTAACAAGTTCGAACTGTGAGCAGTAGACCGGCCCATTCCCTGTATTTCGTGGGCATAAGTGACCATCCTTTGTTGAGAAACTCAAACATTCATTTTTGTTTTCAGATCCAATTTCAGAGTAGAGTTCAATCGAGTGAGTCGGGGATGAAGAATTTACAGAGAAAGGTCGTTTACACGTAGAAGGCGACAACATTTGACTATCAAGATTAACGGAACTGACGTCAGTACTCGGCTTCCGATTGAAATTCGAAAAGCTTCGTTCTTCTGAAATGGTACTTAATTCCGTAAGTAACTGACTCTTTGGTGATGTCGATCCTTTTCTTTGGCTGCTCGGAAGGAGATAAATCCCCAAAGAAGAACCATCGTCTATAAGAGCAGTCGATTTGTTTAATGAGGAGTCAGTGGTTCGAACTTTGATCGATCCTTGATGACGTAGAGAAATAGCCCTCTGACGTAAAAATAAATCAATACAATCAATGCTATCTTATATACAGTTTCATTTTTAATTAGATAATTAATATTTTCCTCTATATTTCTGAACAAAGCTATTAATTGATTAAATGTATTCAACATTTATTTTTAAGTTGTTTCTCAGATTCAAACAGTAATTTTTAATAAGTCGTTTTAGTGCTAAAATGTGTTTATCTTATTTAATTAAAAACGTTAATTTCATATAAATCAATTGTTTATTAATTAATAATTATAAGAAGGTCAGACAACGAAGTGAAATATGTACGAAATCCATAACCAGTTTTTCGTTGCATAAAAAATGTTTGTTAGTTATATATTAAGAGGTCCCTACTTTTCATGACGAGTTAAATGATAATTTAATAATATAATTATTTGCAAAGTTATTTCAGTATTTGTCTTATAACTAAAAAGAAATCTAAGTTTAAATAGCGACAATTGTTATATTGAAGGATCCGTTATTTATTGAAAAATAATATTAATAATGAACTCGCATTTTTCACTGAATCTATGCTACAAGGATACTAAAGGGAATCCAGTTATTGAAGACGAAATATCGGCAGTAGAACAACATAAAAACCGAACTAAAATGCTTCTAAAAAAACAAGAAAATATACATTATTCCGATCTCAATTAGCGCTCAAGCAACTGTTGTCAAATGTTTCATATAATAATCAAATGAAAGTATTAGAGAAAGTTCAAGCTATAAAAATGGAATTAAGTTTGCTTTTATTACACAATTTATTTCTGCACTAATTAATGTGACGTCTATATGACGTGGTCAGTATACGTCACAAATAAGCTGTGCTAATCAATGCATGATGGAATTCCAGCAGCTATATGATGCTACGTTTAAATGTATTTAGAAAATAAATGGTTTCTTTTAAAAGATATATAAGACTGAAAAAGAAATGAGTAAAATGTATAACATATAACTGGTATGTTTTACTACTTTCTATATGAGTAGTTTTAAGATAAAAGTGTAATCAGTTTACATTATTTCTAATATATAATTAAATGCTCGATATTACCTGGAATTAATATGTACACTAACAACTTTTCAAACATATTAATTACCCGATCCTCTTCAAACTTAGTAGTATAGAGTTCCAACGAAAGTTCCTGATATCGTGAAGAAACACATAGCAAGCAATAAACCTGAAAGAAAACATGATGAATTATAAACATTAGAAGTGTAATGTTAATTAAAAGATATAACTTTCTTGTTTAAAATGCATTTATTTCTACTAACTAAATGGTTGCTTTTGTCCTGTCCATTCTTCAAAAATTTAATCTTCTACTCTGATGTAAACATAACAGTGAGACTTAGAAATTTCACACTTCAATTTTCTCTCGACATTTTGATAAGCCAAAACTAACAGAAATTATAGTTTTAATTTTATAAAAAAAATTAGTTATAGCATAGTTTATTTTATTTTAAAGTTTCACTCCACTGTTATATTCTCTTCAGCTTCATTGTAGTATTTTTTAACAATGTTTAACATATGATTTCCAGTTTCTTGTAATTGATGGGCACCAATTGGTTGTGAAAAACAAAACATGGACTTAACTTAGTCCTTTCCTTTGCTAGATATTTATTTTTAGAGCGAAAAGTATCATGTGGTGATTAACAAGAAATATTAAAACAGTTTTGAAACTCATGATTGGTGTTTCATATAGTCATAACTGTTATGGAGATAAATCCATCATTATGTGAACTCGTATAGCAACTAAGATCCTCCAAAGATTTTATTTGAAGCTTCACCTGTTGGAATTTTGCTTTCCTTGTTCGTGCAAAATCGACATGTGGTAGTTAGCATAAACCGGTTATAATACATTGAATTCGTAGATATTTTGCCAAATAGATGACATTATTTGAAGGCGGAAATCAGTTGATGATATACTGATAAAATCCGCCACCTAACTAGCTTGTCGTTAGAAAGTTAATTTGGAAAAGTATCTTTGCCTTGGGTACTAAGGTTTACACGAAACCCAACTAGAGAGAGGCATCTATTGTAATGCAATCAATTCTCCCCTTTTCGAGATTTTTCTTTGTATAAGTATAATCATGTGGCGAATAAGAAATAATATTCACATGGAAAACAAGCTGGTTCTGAAGCACAAAATTTGCATTTGATTAATTCTTACCCTCTCTAATATAATTTCTTTAGGAAGAAAGATTGTCTGGCGCAAGCAACTAAAATCTTCAATGGATTCTTTTAGTTGTAAGACATGTAATTACTCCTTAACGTAAAACATACGGTGCGAAAATACAAAGTAAATCCATAGATAAGTATCAAACTATTAATAACCTTAAAATGTTTTATTAAAATCCCAGTATTTCGTTGTGATAACTTCTTAAAGTGATAATTTTTGTCGCTTGCTATTTAGTTTGATAATGTGTTCTGCGGTACATTCGGCTTTGAAACACCAAATGATAATAAAATTCATAAAAAGCCAGACTGATTACGAGGCATTTACTTTAAAATCAGTTTAATCCTTTGATCAGCGCGAATTCCTGTTTCCATCTAAAGCCTATCAACTGGAAAACATTTTGGACAAACATTTTTTGGAAGTTTTCGATCCGTCATTCTGCCTGAGACTGAATTCTTTTTTGACATTTTGATGGGAATAAATTTGTTCAACTAGTGGTTAATAAAATCAATCCAAAAGTTATCCAGATGAGAAACTTTAAATCCATTCTTAGACTGCTAAAAATCTACAAGATATCCAGTGGATCTAAATACACTTAATTTTAGTTTGTGTTAATTGTTCTATCCCTAATAATTAATTTGGGTTCAGTATTATTTTTTTTCCTGTAAAAATTACATACTGGTCTAATAAATTACGTTTTCAATAAAAAAAACAAAAATCAATAAAAATACGGCAAGTTATAACTTCCTTTTTTACACTCACGTTCTGTCTTTGGGGAGTAACATTTTTTTTCACTATTGACAAATTAAGATTATTATTAGCATTGTTTGATGGTAAAATACGATTTGTCTGTTCTATTGAAAACAGTTATTAAGTTTAAATTAATAATGGTACAATGTCTGGCAACATATCCGTGTTTCAAATATTAATTCATTATTAACTGAAATAATTAAAGTAGCAATATTTAAAGCATTGCATAATAATTTTAGAAACTTACGTTCAACGAGCAAATGAACACATCCACGATAAAAATTATTCCTAAGAGAGGGTTGTAGCTCTGGAAAAAAAAGGTGGAAATTAATATTTTTTCAACATGTTTTCTTTAAAAGAAAATTTCAAATACTCTATACTACCTACCATATGTCTACGGTCAGTTGTCTGAGTAGATTCGTCTACGATCTAAATTATAAGGCTTATACCATTTTATATTGATTTTATAAATCCATCGTAATCTACAAAATGGAAGGTACATAATCACGAGAAACTTTATTCAAAGCTTCTCTTTCATTGTTATAGTGTTATTTCCTTGAAAATGACCAAAGGGCGCCTGGAGGAATCACCTGTTTTAACCACTCGCATAACTATGCAGTAATGTGTTGTCTGTCAGTCAATTAATAGACATTAAAATGATGTCACATAAGGAACGTTTAACGTTGCAATTTGTACTGTCGTGACTTCAATAAAACGTGCGTGTGTCATCAATCACGAGAAAAATTATGCACTCTCTAGGCTAAAACACAGTATGACATATGAACTACAAAGGCAAGAAATAAGAACATTCGTTACTTTTAATTTTGATTTTATTGACTCTTGAAGCAGAACACTTTCGGGGACCCAGCGAAAGTATACCTAATATTACTTGGTTTCTTCTACATTAATACATTCTATCTCAATAGTCTGTATGAAATGTATCCTAAATTAATGGCTAAGATGTTTCCATGCACTGGCTTTTGAAATGCAAAGCTCAACACAAATGACAAAATACCTTAAGGGCAACTCAGTTAATAGAGTCGAAACATTATATATATGTTATTCTATCTTTAAATGCCATAGATATTTTAATAGCAGCCGCCTTTAAATTGAAAATATACTTCATCTCGGATATTGTACTGAAAGGTGAATAAAAAAAGTCCTGGCTGCATAATCTTAAGGAAGAAATAATAAATATATTTGTATCTTCACTGAATGCAAAGTATGATAAAACTTATATGAGTTAGATGAGGTATCACTGACATTTTCTAATGCAGCATATAAAGCAAGTAAGATATATTTAATTGATAACCCAATGTTTTACCTACATAGCAGCTATTTTACCAGTACAATTTCACATTGATATATTCGTGCTTTTAATACACAGTAAACAATGATATACAAAATGTCAATCTTGACCACAGTTGTAATTTATATGTCCATGTATTTAAACTACATGACATTACTTAATGTTTGCATTATCATTACACCGCTCAAAACTTATCTTTGTATACGTTATACATATGTTTTACAAAATTGTAATAAATTAGTTAATGCCACATTCCCGCTTAATAAAAGATATCCTGGTGGTTTTTACAAGGAACAGAAGACCAGTAGTAGTACACAATAACGGAAGTAAATTGTTTATTTTATCGCCTGAAATCATCTTGGCTGCCCAGATGTCAAAGATTACACAAACGTTATAACGACAGAGTCCTCCTGAAATGGAGAACATTACAGTAATCACCAATTTTAAACCTCTTTCGAAAAGAACAACAAAAGCGAATTTAAAAAAAGCCTTTACTATAAATTATTTCACTTTAATATATATTTTACCCTTTTATACATAGTTTGTTTGTAATTAAGCACAAAGCTACACAATGGGCTATCTGTGCTCTGCTCACCACGGGTATCGAAACCCGGATTCTAGCGTTGTACTTCCGCATACATACCGCTGTGCCACTGGGGGGTGGGGGCTTTATGCATAGTTAAAATTATACTTATTTGAGATCACACGAGTTGACCAGATAGAACGATGAATGCTCAGTGATTTAGCTACCTACGGTTTATTCCCCAAATATTTACTTACATAATATATAGGTATGATGCAGTATATATACAAGCGAACACAAATTTTGTCAATGTACAGGTCCCGAACTTTGTAGTGCTTATATAATGTCGATATCTTATAGTGTCAATCTTACGTCGAGCCAATCTTCTCAGCGTCGTCCTATCAAAACTTTAAATACTGTATAGAGTTAATCTTCATTAAGTTAAGAAGATCCAATCCAGTGACCAACACATACAGATATAATTACAATATTGTTCAGTGTCGATCTCATATATATATTGAAGATCTATATGTAGTAACAATGTACATTGTACCAATCAGTGAGGTTCTCATAGAGTTAAAATATCATATAATAGGGTGACCAGATTTCCAAACCGAAAACTCTGAACAGCCCAGCCCTTGCCCCTAATTCCAATATGGTTATCATAAATATGAAATAATTCAAATTTATTGCTTGAACTGTTCCACAACATTTCCAAACATATTAACTTTGTCATCGTTTTTGAAATAATTTCAACTCCTTTTTATTTACGTCAGATACAAAACAAATGAGCAAAAGTAGTCAGAGTACAGATCCAAGAAATCTTTTATTATTCACTTTATCCAGTGCATCAATTCGTACCTGGATTTATTTAAGAATCCATAACAATTTCAAACATACTACCTTCAGGATTTAGCATTACTTTGAAACCGTTTTGATATGTTTTTATGGGTAATAAAAGGAACGTAGAAATTCTGTCTTTTACATTAAATAGACACAAAATTCAGTACATGACTGTGTAAAGTGAGTTTTGACGATGAACGCTGCCTAACTGTCTCCACGTTCAGAACTGCGCAAACCTATGTTTCTTACCACGAACAGATGGAACTTTCGAGAGAGAGTTTGGCGGCGGGAGAGTACGTGTTACAAGGATGAGCAAATAAAATAGACTTAGTATGTTCGAAGTGAATGACAGTTTGATGTCTTTATCATAAAACCGGGAAGTTTTGTGCGTCACCAGAACTTTTCTCGAGACACTGGGACAAACTACCAAAAAAATGGAACTGTCTGGTAAAACTGGGACGTCTGGTCACCTTACATATAATGAAGTTTTTACAAGCAGGATAGATTAAACTGTCATATCTTTATATGATGACTTTTGAGCCGTGTTGAGCATATACATAACTTATCTATATAT